AGAGCGGCTGAGGGCGAACCTGCAGCGCCCGAACCGCGCTTCACAATGAAACGATGATGATGGTAATAACAGCAAAAACAATAAACAAATCCCCACGCTAAAAAGCTCCTCCCGTATCATAAACAAAACCAGCAAAGCCAAATATTTTTCCAAATAAATTTAATTTACAAAATATTTTAAAGTAGAATGAGATGCACACAAATTTAATGGAAAAAAGAAAAAAAAAAAGCCTCATTTGTTTATCTTTCATGAGCTTTAAAGCTGAAAGACACACAGAATGCTGTGTTTCCATGCTGTTAAAATATAAAGGGGCCCCGGAGAGAAATCAAAACCTAGTGCAAGCACCCCTGCAAGAAATCCTATGAAGCGAGCAGTGTTAAGACAAAAGAACTTTACTTTTCCATAACAAACAAAATTACACATAGGACTGAGTACTTCTACAGTTACAGTACACTTCCTAACTTTTCCTTACAGCAAAGAATTACCCCAAAAAAGACAACTTTACTTAAAGACTTCCACCTAAAATATCAACCTATACAGATCACATTTAAAACACATTATCTTATATACCAGTGACAAAATATTGAGTTTATTTCACCTTATTCTTTCATATAAAAGGAGTAACATTTAAACATGATCAAAACAGTTACGGGGGATTCAAAAAATTTCACCATTGTTACCTTTAATCCACTAAATCCTTTTAAACCAAAACATTTCTCAGGAACCGTGGAAAAAGACCCTTCCGGGCTTAAGCAAAGTGACTGCCCTGCATTATATTCTGCCAGTATCATTCTTCAATGCATATGATGGAAACAACCAAAGTGCTGTGAGATGGTATTGTAGAAAAAGATGGCATGTGGCAGCAGTCACAAGGACCTACAGATAAACACGTTCTATTTCCCTTCAGCTTCAGTCATGTGGAGAACACACAACCTGGATCAGTTACGCAGGTATGCTCAACATAGGATTTCGCTTCTTTTGGATAATAGGTTGGGGTTTTTTTCCCTGAAAACAATAAACTACTACATCCTTCTTAGAATTCATTCATAACTCTACATTCATTAACTTCTACACAGAAATAATTTTAGATTTTAAAACTTGAGGGTCATTTATTCCTTAGCACTCCGTAACACATTTCATGTTCAGTCAAGCATGTCATCAGGTGATTCCTTCAAAGCATTCTTCAGCGTTCGGGATGCTCTTTCACATTCATTACTAGGGAAGTAAGCCTAGCTCTTTGATGATACCAATAAGTCTTTTGTCATAGTGTTCTGGCATGACCCATCTTTAAAAATAACTACCCGAATTACAATCCAGACTAAAGTAGCACTAAATTTTTAAGGAAACCACAGCCTTACAGAAGATGTATCATCACCATTACAATTACTGATGTTCACCAGAAAAAGAACCTGTGAGAGCCATACTTCTGTAGGAAAAGTGTCAGTGCTCAAAAAAGGAATTCCAATATAAATAAATAAACTGAACATTAAATCCACTTAATTTTGTTTAGCAAAAAATACAGAATTCAATTTTTAAACAGAACAAGTGCAATAATTTCTCAGAACCATGTAGCAGTTCAGAGTACCAACACAGAATCCACTCTGCTCCCTAAAGGTCAGCTGGTGGAAAAGACAACTTTCTGCAATGTGCCACTGATCACTCTTTAAAGACATTATTAAGAGACCTGCTTCTTCCTTCTTTGGCAACAAATGTTCAACTGAGTCAGTGACTGCCAGATAAAACATAGCCTTTATTGTAAAAGCACACTCCATGCTCAATAGGATATGCACTCTTGGATGAGTACACATGCATACTAAAATGGAGGTATCAGACACCTACGGAGTTTCGACCCATATAGCTGTGAGGTGCAGATCTCTGCCCTTCATCTCCAGTCCTCCGAAGAGGAACTTCCTCTGTCAAGCAGAGACCAGCTACTTCCACCTACCAAATGAAGTACCAGTCCAAGAAAATGTACTTTGTTCATATATGAATTTTAAATAGATGTAAAGCCATAAGAATTACAGCTCATGATATTAAAAAAATAAAAACTATGTATCTAGCACATAAGCTTTCCTATTTTCTTTCACTGTCAACTGGCAATGATCCAGCCTGACCAGCAGGTAAAAACACTAACTAGTAGGGTTATCTGCAAACGAAAGAATGCCAAAGAACTAGTAGGTAATTTTTTCCAGGAATGACTAGTAATTCTGGTCACCCAAACAGGAAAGATAGCACTTGTTTTCTGAAAAATGAGTCCTTTTATAGTCTATTTCTTCTTGGGCACCCAAAAACATGAAGCCCTTTGGAAAATATTGACCGTAATGTTTTCCAAATAGTCAACTGAACTAGAGAAAAAAGCCATTATTCAGGATATATATAAAAGGCACAATAATGAAAGAATTTTTAAAAGGACATTATCAAGTAAACATGCGCCAAATTCCATTTTAGTATTTTCCTAGAGTGCCTTCTGAACAGACTGGATTTTAAAAAGAAAAATTTAGTTACCAACTACTTTCAAGACACTGTTTTGTCAAAATCCTACAATACTTTTTTTCTACTGTAGGACAGAAAAAACAAGAAATAACAAAGAGTTAGGCTTTTTAGTCTGACAAGTGCACTGACACCATTAATGTTGGGTTATTTTTAACAGTACAATTACAAATGCTGGAAGTCATGTTTCATGTCCAGAAGCATTTATATGAATATAATACATACATGTTGACTTGAAAACTACACATAAACCAGCCATTTTCAAGACATGGAGTGTAAGGATAACAGAAACAGTTTTATTTTGAAAAGGGTTGAAGGTGGACTTAGCAGGAAGGGTAGTACTTGATAGTGTCCTTTCAGAAGGTGGCATTCAATGGCCTCATTATTGCTGTGTATTTGCTAGTATTCAGCTTCCTACCAGATATATTTACAGCATGTCAGTTCGAACATTCCCAGAGCACAGCTCTAAAGTTTACTTTAGAGATACAAACATAGAACAGTTAAACACATGTAGTCCTGTTTTAGAAACTGAACTTTTAAAGTTTAGGACTTCTATTGTGCTTCTTTGGCTAAGTCCTATTTAAATATTGATAACACTTAAAATTCTATAACTCTGCCACTATTTAACAGCTAACAGAAATCTTTGGTGTGTTTAGGTTAAGGATTCATTAGGGTACAAGCTTCAAAATATGAACATTCAGGCAGCTCTGGCCCCTCTCCTGCAAACTGCTCAAAGCTGAAGTAGATGGGGATTAACAGAATCTAACACCAAAGTACTTGAACAGGATTTAAAATGATCCATGCTACTTAGAGTTTATAGAACTGTAATGATAAAAAAAGCTTTTCACCACAGATTGCTTGTGCTCAGGTCATTGGATAAATTTAACAGTTACAATAATACACGTATGCCCAGTTTCCCATTTTAAAGTTTCTTTAAGATAATAATTTAAGAACAGGAAAACCTGGGGAAAATTCTGCCTTAATATATAATTCTTGTGAGGAATACTGAAGATGAAAAGATTAGTTCAGGTATTTTCTTTGGCATAATATTCACCAAACAAACACAGAATAATTATTTTTAAAGTAGGCTTAAAATAGAAAGCTTGACGAGGTTAAATTATACTCCATTTCACTGTGAATTACACGAGACCTGTAATTCAAAACAATTCTTTTGCAAAAAAAACAAAACCAAACCCAAAGCAAAACAAAACCAAAACGAAATCCTTATGCCTAGTAAAGAAAAAGCTAAAAATACTTAGACATAAAATACTCTCAAGAGCTTGACTTTGTTTTATAAACACTGTACAAGAAAGTGAGAAACAAAACAATTTCATTAGTAACTCACTAGAGATTTATAAGTACTGATTCTTTCTTTCTTTTTTTCAACAGAAGTTGAGTACTCTTCTGGAAATAATAGTCTTCAAAATTTCTTCTCCATCACAGATAACCTGAAAATGAGCATGCTAATGTGGGACCCTGGTGTAACTTACATTCTCACAAGAATAAACCATGTCAATCCTTTATGAGTGTTCATAGATTAAAATGACCTTGCAAATACTCCCATTTCTTTCAAAGTTAGAGTGCGGGGCACACTTTAGAAGACAAACTAGGTTGAAAAGCATGGAAAAAATGTATATTAAGATTATATAGGTCTAACTGTTGAAAATTAGACAGTATAATTGTCTAGATGTTCCCACATTATTTAACATACAGAGCTCAAGGAAGAATTAAGAGGCCAAATTTAGGCAGCCTAATTACACTCAGGGGGATCACCAAACACCCTGTTTAGTGTCTGCATAAAATATCTGAATCACTTTTCAGAAGAATCTAGTTGCTGTATCCATTGGCTAGGTTCCAGAATCCAGCAGATTTTAAAACCCTCCAAAAATGCCTGAGGGTTCAAATAAAGTTATATTTTAATTGCTGTGTGAAACATAATACAAAGTCTGTGGTTTATATCCCTGCCTGCCCTTACAATTTCTAAGGAATTTGATATAGTCCTTATTCTTCCAGAATACTTTCTATTACACTTAAAATGTTAACTCAAAGTGAGATGCAGAAAGGCAAACAATTTTTTTTTAAATTAATAGCCAGATATGTAATTACATTTTTCAGCCACTATGCTTAAAGGTATTTCAGAACACAATTTTTAGAAGACCATCTATAAGATTTTTAAAAACTCTTAAAATCACATTTTACTCTTTCAGTATGCATCAAAATGTGCCTAAATGTTCAAATATCATGTAAACAAACCTGGTTTTCCAAAACTATGCAGAAGACTCATGAGTCCAAATAAAATATAAAATATAAATTTTAATTGCCATATCAGCCTTCTGTTGGCTAATGGCTTAGTAAATTAGGTGGAATGTTATGGTCTGATCATGAATGTTCACTGTTTGAAATATTCTGTACAGTAGGAGCTGTATCTAGCCCCAGTAAAGTTCCAAGATATGACTGGTCTCTAGGATCCAACATTTGCTCAGGCCTTACAGGATGAACAATATTTGCAGGCTGTGGAGTAAGAGTGTATTTCTCTAGAAATGACAGATCTGTTGCTCGTTGATAATCTGTCTGCTCAGGCTGTGGAGGAAGAATGCCATGTGACTGAGTAGTATGCTGTACTAGATCAGCTTGTGGATCAGACATCTGAACCGGTACCAGAGTCACAGGCACACATACTTCCGTAGATACATTCTGTAGCAAAGTTTTGGCTTCTGATTGATATGCTTTGGACTGTTCCACATATTGTTTAGCCTCAGTTTGGTAAACTTTGTCATCAGAGGTGTACTGCACTGGCAAGGGGACTAGCTTTTCCTCTGAAGAAGATGTCAATGCCTCTTCTGCAGCCTTTGATCCATGAACATGATCAATATGATACTTCAGCTTGTCTTTTCGTTTAAATGTTGCATGGCAGTGTTGGCAATTAAAAGGTCGAGCATCTGAATGAATAACCATGTGTTTTGTTAATGTCTTCTTAATTCTAAAAGACTGATTACAGATTTGACATTTGTAGGGTTTCTCGCCTGTAAAGACAGAAAAGTAAGAATCAGTTATTCTGAGTAACACCATGTCACACATAAATACACAAATACATACATGGATTATGGCATGGAGACCTAGTATAAAACAATTTTACTGAAAACAAGGAGCATATGTTTAGCATCGATTTCGGAATCAGGGGAGCCGTTATATATTTGTTTAGAAGTTCTATTAGCATACCCTTCTCCTTACATACAATTCTCTCAATTCATGGGATTTCTGTCAGGTACACACAAAGATAATCAGAATATAAACCAAATAAAAAAGAACAGTCTTTAAACTGTTACGATACTGGTATTAAATGAGCTCAATCTGTACTTCTATGTATTTCAAAAGGACAATGATATTCCTAAACATAAGGCAAGAAAACCAAAGTCAAACAGATAAGTACATAAAACTTTCCAAAGGGGTTTCAAATCCTTGTTTAGATTACCACTTGAAATTCCCTGGACCACAAAAATAGTTACATGGTCTGGGTAAATTTGGTGAGAATGTACACCAGTAAACTAAAAAAAGAGGTGTAGAGAGCATACTGCAAACCTGTGTTGAGGATTATCAGTGTTTCAGCTGATACATTCAGAGGGTAGAACGACCAGCGTATGAGAAAGAGTAAGAAGTCTTGCTTCTTCCTGCTACTCTTGCCCTGAATGCTCAGTAACCATAATGAATTAAATAATTCCATCGATGGTGATGCATAAAAATACATTCCTACATGGTTTGTTGTTTTCTTGGGGCTTATTTTACTTTTACCTGAATGTGTCCTAAAATGCATTTCCAAACTTGATTTGCCTTTAAAAACTTTCTTACAGACTTCACACTGATGAAATGTTGCTTTGTATCTTTAAAGAAGAAAAGACATTTCATGTTAGATTTTTATTCTTTTTGTAAACCAACAAACAATAAAGCTATGTGCACACTCCTTTCTGAAATCTTTAACTGCAAAATAACTGAATATCAAAGTTTCCAAATTTCCTCACTTATGTTCATATATCCTGGCACCTGTGTACCAATAAGGTCAGTAAGATTCTTTTCAATATTCAGTCTTACTCTCTTCTGAGATTGGCACTTGGTATTACAAAGCAAAAGCCACTAAAACTTCTTTTCTGATACACAGAATATCCTTAAGTAACGGGTTTTGCCCAACATCCACAAAAGGCTTTCACTTTGGCAGACTTGCGCCATAAATAAAGTAGGCTACTGGCTACTAAGAAAAACCAAGCAGAACAAGCAGACAAAGGTACTGTACTTTCAACACAGACGTATCTATAGTGGCTTCTACACAACACGAATGAGTACAAGCAGTTAAAGCATCATTTGAAAAACAAGTAGGTCTCAGTTTATTTGAAATCTCTGAAACAGTTGTTTTTGGAGCTCAGGAATTTAAAAACCCTACTGCATTTTCAATTTATAGACATAACTTAGGTTTCAAAGTTTTTACCTACTTTCAGAGCCCCTAATCTTCTACCAACTTCTAAAATACCTAAGTGTGGGACAGTTCTCACAGTGCTTAAGTGGGACAGTTCTCACAGTGCTTAAATGATGTCCAGTATTTCAGTCTTAACTAGTCTGCAATGACAATATTACATCAAACCATCAGTTTAGAACACCACTGACACAGCTAATTGACAGATGAAAATTTGACTCTTTTTTATGGTTTTATTTACTTTATTATGATTCGAAGAAAACATCTTGATTAAACTATGAACGTACTTTTTTGACATCCACTTCATCTCTATCAAGACTAAGGTAACAGGCATGACAAACACATGGACTGCTAGAATTCTGCACGAACATGCAAGTCCCAACAAAATCAGTTACAGTACAGAAGTATTTACACAGCTACAAAAACCCCACACTTACTTTTGCCAAACTTTTTCTCCGAGATGAACACTTTTATAATGAACGGTAAGGTGATCTCTACGGCCAAAACATTTTCCACATTCTTCACACTGATGTGCTTTTTCACCTATATGGGCAAAATTCAATAAATTTTGATTAAATCTTCTGGAACTATAATCATAAAACCGTAGATCCATGTTCACAGAGTTCAGCCAACCAAGCTCATCCACACCTTACTCAGAGAAGAATACCAAAGAACAAAATTCAGGAATTAGGTTGCTTCTATCAGAGTAAAGACTTTTACCACATGTTATATATGACCATTACTGAACTTTTGTCATTTCTACAATTAAATTCACATTCATGAGTTAAGAGACACTTCCCCAGACACCTACTGCATGAGAGGTACAAGTGAATGACTAGGAACCTACTCTCCTCATTGTGACCCGAAATGTGCTATCTTCAATAATTCAGGGGCTCTAAAAACAGAGGCTTATTTAAACACACTAATTATTTTCAGCTACTAATTTTAGAACTGAAAATTACATCACAGTATTTATCTTTTTAATTATCCTGATTTACATAGTTACCTTTTTCTTTTAGGCTGCTGTTTAAAAGTATCTTGGTTCTTTTTAGTCATCTTGAGATCTTCCATAAAGTGGCAGAGTATTTCTTCTCATGTAAGTAGGAGGAGTGTGGACAGTCAAAGAATGTAACTTTCTAGAGGAGGGAAAAGCAAATAGAGTAGAAAAGAGGATTTTTTTTTTTTTGTACTTGAGTTTTCAGAGATTTCTTTATTTTATAGCAGACATTATGACTTCAAACACAAAAAAAAAAAAAAGAAGCTGTCCTTCAAAATAAAGGCTCGGGAAGTTTAGACTCTGATCACTTTCATATTTTCATGCTGCCTAGAAAGTATTTTGCCTCCTAGAAGGCCTCATTCCCTTCGGATCCTGTTCTCAAAAAGCCCCTAGTGAATCTTTGCTTTTCCTGTACATTTGATACTATAAGTATCTGCTATCAGTGCCAACAGATATTTTTAATTCTTCCTGATTATGCCCATCTGGCTGTTCTCAGGGTTGACTCCCACCACCTTCCTTCCCTCCTTCTTCCCCAATAACAGACTTCAGAAACACCTCTTTGATGTTCTTACATTAAAGTGATCAGTGTACAAACTTTGTCAAGAGACTGTGACAGCTTCTTCTGTGTTGTGGTAATAATGTTTCACGCAATTGCTATTAAAAAAAAGAAATCTGGACTCATTTAAAAAAATCCTCCTTTTTCACTTTTGCTTTTTTTTATTATTTTTAAAGCAATTTACTGTTACATGTTTTTGACTGTCCCTCAGCTTTCTATGTTAACATGGAGGAAACACTTTGCTTTTAAACTTTGAAAACACATGTAAGATTAACCCTACTTTAGTAAACTTTAAAAATAGTGAGAGGAACTTTTATCAGGCCTAAAACATAGCATGTACTGAAAGAAAAAAATCCATAATTAATTTTTCATTCGATCTTATTTCAAAATAGTAATATAAAAAACAATTTTCAAAGAAAATACCTACCTGAGTGTATTTTTTTATGTTTTGTCAGGTGATCATGCCGAATAAATGTCTTCCCACATTCTTCACATTCATATCTCTTGTCATCATGGTGGACTCTTAGGTGAAGTCTGTATATTTACAGTCACAAATATAACCATAAAATGTAATACTTTTAACATAATCTACTGCTAATTCAATGCAAAATACCAGAAAACATACTCTTTAGTGCTTCACACAAATATCAGGAAATAAACTTCAGATGAGGTATGCCTAAACTGCTCTTAGAAAGCAAGAAGGAACAGAGCTAAACTCTTATGTGATGTTAACTTTGTAGGATATTTTAGTCTTCCGCTTATTTTCTCTTTGAATAACAAAGATGCAAGTTTTAGATGTGCAAGAAAGTAAACTCTGATACAAGATTTGTATGGGATTCTGTCTGTGTTTAAACCACTGAAGTATTAAAAATTAAATGACTTCTTACAGATTAATCTTTTTTCAATATTTAAGCATGTTTAAAGCATTTACTAATGCTCTCAGAATTCGTATAAATCAAAACACATACATTTTGAAGAATTATGTTGGTAACATGAATACATATGTACCACCAAATAAGTGAGACAGTTTAGCAGCTTATCTAATAAAAATCTGTACCTGTAAGAGCTTCCATGACGAAAACTCTGTCCGCAAATACTGCAAAGATGAGGCTTCTCTCCACTATGAATTCTCAGATGTTCTTTCAAAGTTGTTCTGTTTAACAAAGGCAGTAAAATTTAATTTTAAGCAATGTCACTGCCACTTTAAAGTTAAACAGATTTCTTCTCAATTTCTTTAACTCTGAGGGATCACAATATATACAAATAACTGCATCATCAATTTATTCAGATATACACATAGATACATACATTCAAAGGCACTGTATGCTATTTATTGAACCTGCTGGGTCTGGAAACAATATAAACAAAGAAACAAAACATTGTCCCAGCATAAACTGAAGAAAACATCAAGCTTGTCAGCATTTTCTATGTAATAATTTTCTTGTGTCTGTATGTATATCTAAGTCAGAGCTTGAAAATCAGACTTGAAGGAAATTTGGATTGTGGATGTTAAAAAACTGTGCATGCAGATAGAAATTCCCCTCAAGCAAAGGATTCAGGCAGTAACATTTAATGCATAAATAGCTGGTAAGTGTGTGAACTAAACAAAAGAGAAAATTCTTCAATCTCCTTCAGTACATTTTTTTTTTCCCCAAAAAAATTTTTTATTGCTGTACACAAAAATTTTATCTTTTCTAAAAAGAGCAACAACATTTAAATACTCAACTGCCTTATATAACATAAATGAGCTTTATAGAACTGAAAGACTATCTGTGCTTTATAGCTTGTTTGTTTACTATTTCATTATTGCATTTGTGCATTTTCTTTTAACACATGCATACCCTATTGACCAAACAACTAGAAAATTCACACCACCAACAAAACCCACTAGGGACAACTCTTCCTCTTGCAATACTTCTGGTGGTCTGGTCTTTGCCAGTCATTGGAAAAAAAAAACCATATCAAGAACACATACTGCATTACACAAACTCATATATTTTTATATAGCTCAAACAGAACATAACTAGAATCTTTGCCAGGTTCACTGAGATGAAGCTGTATTCTGTCAATACAAGCAAACAAACAAATATAAGGCTTATTGTTTCAGAACCTAAACATAAATCACCATTTGGTAAACTTTGAAGATCTCCGTTATAGAGCAATGCAAGACACCTTCACAGAAGCAATGTAAATGATCACTTAAATCCACATTTTTTTACCCCCATATGTGTAAAATTGAAAGGGAAGGGAATCACATTTCTACAGCTTTCCTATGATTTTTTACATACTAAAATTTATGACCCAACTTTTAGAGCTTCCACTTTTCAAAGTGCTAAAATAACATTTGTTTCCTCCATTTAGACAAGCAGCAGCAAAGGTCGTACACTATTATTCTATCTTCCATGAAATCATGTCAGTAGAAGTCCAATTTCTTCTTAGTCATTCTTACCAGTGCTCCTGATCTTCCTGTACTCATCAGTTTATTTACCAAAATATCTATGGCAAGATGTTCTTGCACAACACAGGAACCCAAAGTGAATTACAGGTAAGACTTTTTAAATATAGTTCTGCCTTATAATTAATTACCTACAGGCGTTACCCTTAATTTTAGGGGTCATCAGAAAACCACATGCTACCTGTGGTTCTGGTGCTACCTTTTAATATAGTAGCCTTCTCAAATGGCCTCATTTAAGCCAAAAATTCAAAGCTAAACCATATTCAGAATTAAAACACTCTATAAATATCACTCTGTTCTGCTCAAGTTCAAGTGGTCATGCAACTCCTTACCGCTCCCGAACAGATTTTCCACAGATGAAACATGTCCATTTCCTCTTTCCTCCATGAGTACACTCTACATGGCGTTTCAAATTTCCTGTATCATTAAATTGGCGGCCACAAATATCGCAAGGAAAAGGCCCTACAAGGAGACAGACAGACACAGCATTATTAACTGTCAGTTAAACCAAACAAGATGTACAGACTGGTTACTTGTGAAAGCCCTCATCAATTTACAAAGCAGAAGTTTTGTCCAACAAATTACTAATGTTTAGTACAGTCAGCATACTTTAATTAGACTGAGCACTTTCTTCTCAGAAAAGTTATTTCTAATACCTGGTATTTTGGCAAATTTCACAATTGTAAAGCAAAAATTTAGAATAGTCAAAAGTAATTAAGTTCACTTAGACTGTTTGAAAAAATGAATTCCTATTACTATCACCAATCCAGTTCCTACCTGGCAGAAATAATTAATAGTAATAAAGAAGTCTTCAGAATACTTCTCAACAAAATAAAAAGGTCTTTGGAAAACTTTAGGAAGACTCTGACTCCGTACTTGAGAACCAATTTCATACAAAAAGATTTTAAAACAAAACTGACCTTAATCATTCTACCCAAAAAACCTCTCTGCATTTATATAGGTACAATACAATGCCTTTAAAAGACAGCTGAACAGAAAAGTAAAAAAATCAACCAACAAACACCCCCCAAAAAAAATCCAAAACCAACAACCCAACTCCCCCACAATATTGGAAAAGAGAGAACTAAAAAAAGAGGTTGGCTGGATACCGAACTGGTCAGGACATATAATGGTAGAGGAAGGTTTTACTTTAAATCTATTGTTTACATGTCAGAAGGATGTTTCTATACCGAGATGGAATTTTTCTTGATGTTTCAGTCTTGCAAATCGGGATTTAAAATGCTCTTCACAGTAGGTACACTTAAAAGGTTTATCCTGAGAGTGAAGGATCATATGCTCTTCTAAATGAGGTCTTCGAGTGAAAGATTTCTTACAAATCTAAAATGATAACACAATTTGTCAAAGATACATCAGTTATAACCAGATTATATTCCTATTCATAAACTCTTAAATTTAGTTCATCTGCTCTATGCAGCAATGTAAAATTAAACATGTATTCTTCAAAAGCACACTCTATCCCCACTTCTAAAGTCTTGCAGTCAACATAAAAAAATCTGTGTTCTACATAAACCCTACTGGATTGCACTCCATATATTATTATGCCAATCCACGGCAGCCTAACTCAAACTACTGGCAACGCCTGCATACAGTTACATGTTCCCCCCTTCCTTCTACTGACTCTTTTCTAGGGTGTTTCAACACAGTAACTTTGCAGAAAATAACCCAACTGAAAAAAATCAAATAGCTTTGGATTGGTTTTGGACAGGAAACAGCTCGGCGGGACTGTGGTAAAAGCTGTTGTAGTATAAGCTACTGAAGAACTAGAGTCATACCTGCTCCTTTATTTCCTCTGGGAAATTCTCTGACAGCATGTATTAAAGAGAAAATGCCAATACCAACAAAGAAATATAATTCAAAATATATTTTAGAGATACAGAACTTTCACAATGTTAAAATTATGTGAGCTTTTTAGTACTGTTTTCAGAAGAATCAAAACTTAAGTGTAGAAGAATCGCTAGTAGAGTCATTAAAGTAAGCATGCAGTTCAATTACAGAATTGAAGCCACAGCTCAAATTTAGGCATTTAAACTAGGTATTACAATTCAACATCAGGGCCCTATGATCTAACATAAATCAACACAGGGCTCACTCACTGATTTCATTGTGAAACTGTTGCCATTGTTTATAATAGCTGAATTTAGTACTTACCTAACTCCCATAGATTAAATTGTGCAATCAGTTTCTCAGAGCACACCTGGATAACACTTTTAGTCTCAGGAAATCAGAAGGAACAGGAGGTTTATTTGTTTAAAAACTTATTAATGTTAAATATAAGTGTAAGAAAATCCCATACCTGTAAAAAGTATAATGGCCTTCTTGCTTTTCTTTACTATTAATACTCTACTGTTTCTGTGAATTTGCTCATATTCCTCACGGATTAAAGTATGGTCACCAAATCCTGGTGTTCACACATGGACTACAGCATAAACCAACAACCTGAAGAAATCCTGCAGCTTACATCTGTAGCACCTCAGCCCTCAGAACATACTAAACAACCTGAAAACAAAGTCACAGTTCCTAAGGGTTCTGTTCATTCTCCAGCTGCTATAAAAGCTAAAATTCTACCCCTGCTTTCAATTCGAGCTTGTTTTGAGTGCGCATCAGCAGCACAAGAGCAGCAGCTCATGTCTTGAAAAAAATCTAGTTAACATAAACTTAACAAAACCCAACAACCAAACCCCAAAGTGGAGTTTACCAAAACATTCATCTGGTAAGAGTACTTTCCAAGAAACGAACATCAGTAATGTTGCATGATTGATTCCCACTATAAAAACATTTCTTATCCAGTAATAAACAGAATCTATAATACGTTTACACAGTGTAACTTCATTTGGAAGATAACACTGTCTGGTCATCGATGTAATAGAATACATCCAGCCATGGTACCATCACCAGCAGAATGAACCTTACAGTTTCCTACAGCTGGTATCTCCCAACCTCCTACTATATGTTTATAAGTGAAAGTTCAAAACAAAGCAAGGTTAGTAATTATGTTATAGCACCTAATATTACAGACATACAGGTGCATAAAGCAGATTGCACAAACAAAACAGCTGCCTTGAAAAAAGGGTAAACTGATTCCCTTAAAAAAAACCCAGTAACACCCCACATTTGGAACCTTAAAATATCATTTAGCAGCAGACAGATAGAGAACTGGAGTTCTACAAACTCCTTTTTACAGTAGATATAGTTTCATACATGTATCTCTCCTGAGGAAAATCAAGGAAAGGTTTCTACAATTTTACAACTAGAAGTAAATTATGTACAAATTTACAACTCTGTTGATACTCATATGCAGCTAAACTAAAAAGTTTTTCGTATCTATTCTCCTCGCTAGTGAGAGAGTCTTCCAAAACAGGATATATTATGGTCAGTGTCTGATGTGCATAATTAACGGGAGAGCAAACACTTTTTAAACAGTTTTTAAAGTATTCATAACACTTAAGTCCAATTATCTGCAAATTTATGTAATTTAACAACAGCAATAACTGATCACATTAAAACATACTGCTTTCAACTATTTTAGAATTCAATTTGGTATTATTTACCCGGTGACAAGCTGTACATACAGATCAAGTTCAGCCATTAAATCAGCACATAAAGAGGAATTTTATACCATTACATACAAAGCTTACTGAGATTCCACAGAAACACTATGCGGTATTTTCACTGAAGTATTCAAGTCACAAAACATAGTATCTATATGAAAAAAACACCAACACCAAAGTACTGAAGTATTACTTACATCACATTTCCAACCTTCACTCTTTGTCTTTTTGATAGAAAGAAATTCTTGTACATTCTCTGGATGAAACCTAGGAGAAAGACAGAAGCTGAAAGTAGCTATAACTTTCAAAGATGAAGATCACCCGAATACTAAATACCCATTTCTAAACTCCACGTGTTATGAAACTGATCACCAAACCACAGAACAGAATACTGATAGCTAAAGAATTCTAAAGGCACAAGGAAAGTAGTGTTTACTAGATTCCTGTAGATACTCATATGACAATTGGTAAGAGAACAGTTTCAATTATAATGCTTTATGGATATTTACAAAGAAAAAGGAAAAAAGCAGTATGTAAATAATAATGCATTACAATTAGACCTATCATAAACAAATTATTCACCTAAAAAAATCTGCATGGAAATGGTTTATCCACCTATATCATCAACAGTATAGCATCAACATTTAAAATCAAAGAAGATATCTTTTTCTTCCTCCAAATTAAAAGCAACACAGATAAATATTAAGACTTGTATTCTGACTCACTGTATTAGCTAATCTGAGAATTCTAAAATTTATAGTAAAAACCTATGGCAGAGCTCCCACAGAACCATTAGTGCCATTTAGTCAGTCCCTGTGCATTCCTCATGGCAGGTTAGTTGGTACTGCTAATCTCATGTCTTTTGAAAAGATACTTATTTGAAGAAACAGTTATAAAGTTATAGAAATAATGCAGAACATACATTTATCTTCTTTTGAACTTAAAAAAAAAGAAGATTCTTCAGAAATGCAAGACAAATTTGCTCATACTTGCCTCTTCACGTGCTTCGCTAACGTCTTTTTGCTTGCATGCAGCTTATTGCAGTAGGGACATTTGTGTTCCTTTTTATGAAAGTCAGCATCACTGGAGTGCTTCTTTCTGTGCACTGTCAGGTTGGACTTTGTTGAATAGCGCTGGTGACATATATCACACTCAAAAGGCTTCTCACCCGTGTGTACACGTGTATGGCTCTCGTATTTGCCTGTACGACAACAACAAAAAAATCCATTAGTATGAATTGTAAAAGGTATCACCTACAATATGCACATTTGGGGTTTGTTCTATAACCTCTCTCTCAAAAGCAGTCAAGTATCTTCCACACACATCTAAAGATTTCTACTGGTTTACACCACTGAAAACTGCACAGTGATCACATACAGTGCTTGACCCATACACTTCTACCTTAGGTATTTTTAAGATAAAGAGTAAAAATAAAAGGGCTCTGTATTACTGTTATATCTGTATGAAGGTTACCAATCCCTCTTGTTCAACCCTACAGCATACTCTGTTCTTAAGAACCAAAAGTTACACCACTAGTCTTTCATGCGGTACTGATTGCGAAGGACTTTTTCGTAACAGGGAACAGCCTTGCAACAAACTGCTTATTTCTAAAGGTACTTTCAAACAACAATACACCAAATGTATGCTACAGACCATTGCAAATGATCTATATATTTGGCAACCAAGATATTACCGTAAATAAAAATACTACTCTAATTTCTTCCATGCTGCTTATATTCCCTCTTCTGTTTGCCAGTTTTCTTCCCCAAGGACAGAATCCATCCTAAGCTGAGGGTCTGTCTACCTACCACAAATCAATAGCAGGGTCCCTGCTACTAGATAACTTTTTTCTCTGTAGAATATACACCATGGTTTGGGGAGTTAGATAGAGAAGAAAAAAAAAAAAAAAGTACTATAGCTCATAATTTAAAATATAAATCGTCTACCACTAAACAAGCTTGTAAGGAAATATTTTGTGTCACTTTCACTTGTTTTAATGATATTTTCATGTATTTTTTGAGCACAAAGCTAGAATTCAACGTTATGAACATGCAAAGAGAAAAAGGCTTCCAATGCATGCAAAACTAAATTGTACCATCACAACTTTACTCATAAGCTATTTATTTCTGCATAGTAGCCTCTCAATATTAAAAACCCCCTCAAACTCAGAAAATTCCTTTATTACTTTAAGATACGGCATTACAGGAACAGTTAAGTCCCACATTTTTTGTTTTAAATAACTTCTATGATATAATTTGTGACCCTGGAAAATTCACTTCACCTCAGCAAGCTAAATACACTGTGTAAGTAGGAATTAACACACACACTACCTCCATCCATTTTCCTAAACTCCTAAAATTTCAAAATTATAAGACACAATGCACCTAAAAACACCAAAAAATACCTAACAGTATGAGGAACTGTTTCTTTCCTGATCCCCATGATTGAAAGGAAGTCAATACCTTACGTGATCATCATTAACCGTTTATTCCAGCTGAAAGAATACAGAAATTCTGGAATAGAGCAGTAATTTACTTTTAATATGGGAGAAGAGGACAGGAAAGCATTGGACATGACAGGGCAGAATTTCTACTCTTCCAATATCCCAAGTAACTGTAAGTCTAGATTTGACTGTAACATTAACAATCCTAACACAACAGCTTAAGCTGACAAAGTATTAGTTGGTGCTAACCACAGACAAGAAGAATCAAGCTAGAAGTCAGTGACTGAGTCCTAAGCATCTACACATCATATAGAATGGAAGAATTTCAGGCTGTTTGACAATGGTGCTGTTATACTACAGCAACAATGACAGCTTTGTTACTTAAAATTAATTTGGCAGTAAAGGTCTCAGACTTCATTCAAGAAATTTCTGCAGACTTAGTATCTTGCTGTGTTTCCCTCCTTTTTCAAGGCTGTTCTTACATGCCACACTAACAGCCGGAATCCAGAGCTGTGAAAGAGAAATAAATTTAGTATTTGCAGATTTTTTCAATTAATGCACTCAGTTAATTTATTGAAACTGTTTGTTACCATAGACGTAACAACTTATTACATTTAAGAAAATCAGCAGCATACTGGGTCAGTGATTCAGAAATTCTGATCTTCACTCTCTAGGACGGAGAAACAGTCCAGTTTATTTCCCACACAGATAGCACCACCATTCACCTGGCTTGTTCTTACCTATTCGATCAAATTTTTTGTCACACTTGGGACACTGCAGTAGTTTTTTGCTACTGCTTTGAATGACGACTGGAGCTAAGCCTTCAGGAATATTTCCCATTGAATCAACGGCCTCAGAACCCTCTTCAGCATCATTCTGTTCTTTTTCACTTTGTTCTTCAGACTCTGAATCTTCACCTGACATTTCCTCTTCCTGTCCCTCTTCATCAGCATTGCACTCACTTTCACTGTCTTCAAATTCACTTCTATCAGACGTTTCCTTGTCAGAACTGACTTTCTCCAAATTGCTGTCAGAGGCATCATCACTTTCATTGTCACTGTTATCCAGTTTAGCTGGATATTTGCGGTTTCTTGTAGAACATCTAGTGGAAAGGCTGGCCTTCTCAACCATTTTTAACCCATGCTTTCTTTCCAGTGAAAGGGATCTGTGGGCTTTAGCCAAATGATTTTCTAAGGACTTCTTGTAGCAGAAACTTCGACCACAAAAAGTGCACTGATGACTGTTTAATAGTTTACCTGTCAGTTCATTGAGTGTTTCTACTGGTGTAGGCACATCAGTCGCCACATCAGTCTGTACGTTAGAAATGCTTTCGTTATTTAGTAACTTCACTGCATCTATGATATCTAAAAATTTTGCTGCTTCCAGCACTAACGGAATTTCATTTTTATACACAAAAAACTCTGAGGTGTAAAGAAACTCAAGCAGATGCTGAAAGACAGAATGAGTTACATGATCTAAGGTGACAACATCAGTGCTTGGATTTTTACTCAAACAGGCATGAAAATAACTACTCCCAACAGCCACTACAACTTTGTGAGCACTAAATTCTTTCCCTTCTACAATAATGAGTAAATCACAAAATGATGGACGTTTCTGTCTATCGTCATTTAAGTATTTCAGTAGATTTTTGTTATACTGCAATGAGCTTAGGAGCTTTCTTTGTTCTGGTGATGGCGAAAGTTCTTTGGAAGATTCACGCTGATCTGCAGGAGCTACTTCTGCAGCCTTTGAGACAATTTTCTGTGCACAGTCTACTACAAGAATCTGCTCTGAAGCGTCTTTCTCATGGCCAAGGTGAACCTTTTCGTTTAGATTTGCAGCGAGCCGTCTCCTTTTCTTCATTGCAGAAGTGCAACTTCAAAATCAGGAGCTTCATAGGTGATTGGCAAGAAATTCTTGTGAAGACTTTGCTCTGCTCCAGACCTTGAGAAAATATGCAACAGTAATTTCATAATCTGCAAAAGAATTACGATACAAATTATTCTAGGCACTGAACAGTAGCTTCTTTCTCTATTAACACTTTCTGTACTTTACTCTTGGTTTTATCTACCCTGCACACCTTAAACTTTTATTAAATTACTAAAATCTCATTACTTCCCATTTCAGACCATGGCATAACACTACTCAGAGCAGGCGAGCCGACACTGCCTATTATTAGATCGAAAGAGGCGGCTTGGGCTGGTTTTGCTCCCTAGACACATATAGCCCGTGAAATACCCCGGAATGGGCGTACACCGTTATTATTATTACTCCGAAGCGCACTCGCTTTCCGTTTAACCCCAACACACCCAGACAGCTCTTCTGCTTCTCCCGCCGGGCGCCCGGCCCCT